TTAGTTAAGGGGAATATACAACATTTGCAAACATCGCAAAATAAAACTACCAAGTTTTTACAAAATACCTTACTAGGATGTTGGTAAATGACAGTCTCAAGCATCTTGTAAAATTATGGCACCTGGTGCGAAGTCATTTTCAAGAAAATGGTATTTTTGTAAACATTTCCAATGGTGGTCGGCCGACCAGCGTTGGAAAAACCTAACTATTTTTCAACTACTGCTCCAAATTTACCATTTTTTCAGTCCAAATTTTGTTTGCTATTGGTTACATGTTCATGAACGGGTGCAGGCCAGCTAGGCTGGTTCCCTTGCCTTACAATTTTCCATCATCTGTAAATTGATCCATTTTATCTTTTGTGGAGTCAGGGAACGAGACTACTTGAACAGTTTTGTTTTTCTTGGTTTTTCCAACCTTTTCGAACACAAAACTTAAAAAATGTCAGTGTAACAATATTTGATCTATTATACTAACCCCTCAAATAGTTCATTTCTGAAAATTACAGCAAAAGCCAATGATGTACATTCCCTTTACATTTGTAAATGAAAGTACAGTTTGACCATTTCGGATGGAAGACTGTTTTCTGTTGCTAGGGAACTGTGCGGTGATAGTCCCAAAAACTGCATGTGCATTGTGTGCTTTGTAAATTGATAATTCACTACGCGGGAGTTTGTAGTTTGGTGCGATTTTTGGTCATGTTTGCTTCCGATATTTGCCCATGGAACACATTCGCTCCAAACAGCAAGCTGCTATCAGCCTTGGTGCTTTGTCTTTACCATCACTCCTAGCCATTACTCCTCCCCAACAACACCACCCATAGCAACGGGGTCCGGCCCAGCATGTTGTCATTCCACTTCACCCCCTAATCTGTTACCATAGTAAACACAGAGCATTTGCCTTGTTTCTAGGCAACCCCAACAACCAATAAAGCATGCTCGCCCCTATTGGTTATTGAAGTTTGCGAAGTATGGTGCAATTTATCTAGCCACAGAAGAACAACTCGTACTTAGCCGAGTGCTACCAAGGAAATGGAGGAATTTGTCGTCTGGCGTCTGTGTAATTTGGGGATATATGTGTGGCAGAGATAGTGGTGACGTTCAAAAGTGCAGGTTTTAATAACAGTATTTGGAATGATGAGAGTGGCATGACACTCCAGTGCATTGGAGACGTGAAGTGCACTGAAGAATGAGTACTAATTACATTTCTCATCGTCTAGTTTTCAACTCGATTTATCAAAGTGTGAAGCACTTGTTTATTTAGTGTTCAGAGGAGCAAATATGACTTTAAATCATAATAACATGTATTTCTTCAGAGAAAAAGAGGGGCATTTTAGATGACTGGATTAAATTTTTAAAATTTGTTTGTCTTAATCGCATTCAACTCCTGGATGTTCTTTCTGCTAAAATTAGCTAGTTTGTTTTAACTAATGGTTCCCCAAAATTATAATGGAGGTTATTTCCGAAAGTTTTGTCCGAAAATTTATTTAATTTCATTTGTCTTGAATTCAACAAAACTCTCCACATATTCCTAAACAAATAAAATCCCCATCAAAAATATTAGTAAGGAGTAACATATAAAAAGGTTCATCTTTAAAAGGTAACATTTACAAACATCCAAAAACAAAACTACCAAGTTATTCTGAAATACCTTACTTGACTGTAAGTGAATAATAGTCTCAAGCATCCTGTGAAATCAATGGCACCTGGAGTGCTGTCATTTTTCGAGAAAAGTAGAATTTCAACGATAACTGACTTTTCAAATACTGCCCCCATTTTACCAAACTTACTTAGTCCACGTTTTGTTTGCAATCGGTTACGTATCCGTGAACTGGTGAAATTAAAGCCAGCTAGTCTGGTTCCCTGACCTGACAATTGCCCAACGCAGGAATAACTGTTCTGGTAAAGTAATCAATGGATTAGTATTCATGAACATACACATACACCCCCAACACACACGTTTATGTTACATACCTAGTGTGGACATTCCTTTGTTTTAAGCAGGAAAAAACCTTGTTTTACTCGTACTGTGAACACTTTTTCAACCTGAATTGTTGAGGATGATTTCCTTTAGTGTTCCTCTACATCCTCTTCATTTTTGTGACTGATAACTCTAACCCAAAATTTTTGTGAAAGGGGGACACCTTGGGTGGCCATGGGCAAGTCCACACAAAGTTCATTTTGCCTCCCGTCCCATTCCTGACCATTTTCAAGTCAATAGACCTTGATCATTCTGCCACCATTGCAGTCATGTTCCCTGTATCCATTAACAGTTACTGAATGATAATGTTTTTGTGCAAAAAGGAACCAGACAACTTTCCTTCCAGCCTCCCTTTGGAGTTTGGTTACGTTGATTTGAATGGGCAAAAATCAAGATGGCCGCAAAATGATAATGGTCTATAGGAAATACATTTTTCAGACTTTACTCTGAAATCACATTAAATCGGAGAGAAAGACATACATTTCAGTCATGTTCCCTGTATCCATTAACAGTACCATAGTATGACAGTACTAAATGATAATGCTTTTGTGCAGAAAGGAATTTGACAATTTTTCCCTCCAGCCTCGCTTTGGTTACGTTGATTTGAATGGGCAAAAATCAAGATGGCCGCAACATGATAATGGTCTAATAGGCATTACATTTTTTAGACTTTACTCTGACATCACTTTAAATCGGCGAGAAAGAAATACAACAAAAACATCTTTCAAACCTTCAAATTTTCAGGCTTTTTTTAAAATTGAAAATATCCCTCATGCAAGCTAATGCCAAATAAGATCCGAGTTTGCTTTGCGTGTTTACAGGTGCTTTTGCCATCCTGGCAATTTTTTTTTTATTTTTATTTAAACTGAAACTGATTTTAAAAAAAGACTCAACCATGAAATTTCGCACCACATGGGGATAGAGTTACGGTAGTGGTGCGAAATTGCATGGTTGAGTCTTTTTTTCAAAATCAGTTTCGGTTTAAATAAAAATAGAAAAAAAATTACGGCAAATGTAAATCAGAAAAACAAAACTGAATGTACTGTATGACCTCGCTAGTCCAAACACGTACTGAATACATTTTTGTCACAATTCATTGAAGTAGGAAGTTACGCTTTGATATGAGTTACCCCACATGAAGCAGGAAAAATATTCCCACGAGAATCAAAATGAATTGATATCCAATTACAACGAATACGTGACATATCACAGTATAGAGTTTTATTTTGACAATGCAACAAAGGCAATGCAAACCTGCATAGAAATTTGCATTTTGCTAGCCTCATGTCAACACTCAACAAATATACAGACACTGTCCCAGTCAGGCGTTCCAGTCGTTGCTAACAACAAACTTTTTCACCGCTGCTATGGGCGACAGCTGGAAAGCAGCTGACAAGACGGGTGACCTTGGTTGACCTTGGGCAACCTTCTGCAGTGCAAACCTTATGAATTATTAATCACTTTCAATGTGTTACCAGATGAAAATTTGAGGATTTGGGATTCGTTACTCTTTGTGTTTTTTTTTTTTTTTTTAGAGCAGTGGTGTTGATTTAGATTGAGATAGTTGTAAAGTACTGGGTTTTTTTTTCTTACAAATTAATACGAATGAATTGTCACTCTTTAAGTACAGCTTTCATAAGAAGATGTGAAAGAACAGAAGCCCCTCCCATCCCCCGCCCCATGATACCCCTACCTTCATCTCGGTACTACATCACTCCTCAATATCAAATAGAATGACATCAATTTTTGGGCATATTCCATCGATGTGGAATGTATGAAATTTTAAAAATTGGTGGGGAGGGCATTTTCAATGTGCAGTTTTAAAATTTAATTTGAATAAAAGTGATTAAATTTAAATTAACCCTAATTGCCTAGGTCATGTTTTTCTAGGATTCATTCTCAATCCTGCAAAATCCTCCAACTGCCACCATGTAAAAATTGGATACAGCCTTAACATGCTTAATCCCAACTCCCTAGGCCTTTTTGCTAGGATGTAGCCTCAATCTAGCAAAATCCTTTAATTGGTCTCATGGGAAAATATTATATAGCCTCAATCCTGCAAATTCCTCAATTATTTCTTGAATATGGTCCGTGGAGGAGTGACCACTGTCTGAATCCTGCAGCAGTGACTGTCAATATGTTGAGGCTTGGCCAGTGACATCCTGGAGCAATACGGAGGATTTTAAGCATAATGCAGGCCTATATTTATGCATGGCTGAGCAAAAACAACCCAAGGTCCGGCCCAAGACCTTGACAAAGTGCATCCTACAAAATCAGTTATGCACTTTTGCCATGTAACCTCAATCCTCCAAATTCCTCCACTTTGGCAAAGAGGATTTTGAAGGATTCAGGGCGGTTAGGGTTAATCCTTCAAAAAATAATGGATACTTTTGAAGGATTAAGGCTGTATCCATCCCCCCTCCCCCCCCCCCCCATTTGTTCATTGGAGGGGTGACCACTGCCTCAATCCTTCAAAATCATCCAACAATCACTGTATTACATGTACATTGGGGCAGTGTGGATGATATCCAGAAGCAGTACGGATGATGTCCAGTATAAACAATGCAGGGTACAGCTTAACCCTAACCCACCTCAATCCTCCAAGCTACTCCTGGCAGTTTTGAGGGATTTTGGAGGATTGAGGATGAATGGTGTTTGAGAAGCATGAGGATTTTGGAGGATTGAGGATGAATGGTGTTTGAAGAAGAGGAGGATTTTGAAGGTTTGAGTTGCTGGGTGTCCTTCATTTCAACATCAGTGCAAAATTGTTGGGTGGAGGATGGTTTCTACATGCAGCAAAAAGGGCCTAGGGGGTTCGGGTGAAGACATTGACAAACCGCATCCTTGACAATCAACTGACAAATCCTTCAAAATCCTCCAAAAAACACTGCTTGTATGATTTTGGAGGATTGAGGAGGGTTAGTGTGAATTTACAATGTACTCCAAGTAATGTGAGAGTTCTCTGTATCTAAGGACGAAAAACCTCATTCAAATTGCATTGTGCCATCCTGTACTCCTGCAGGCATTGGATTTATATTGAGAGGCATCACAGTCGTTCAAGATGCAATCAATCAGTGCGACTACTCAGCAGCAACAGATCTCAGCGCCGACCATCATCACCACACACCAGGCACAGCATCAGCCCAGCACGCAGACCATACAGGCCCAGCAGTTTGTACAAGTCGCAGGTAAGTACCCCACAAGAAGTGAGGCACGGTCATTTCTCACTTTAACAAAACCGAAACCCCTTGCTTTCAGTTTTGTCTTTCCCTGTTTCTCTTGCAGGGAAAATATTTACCTCCATTACCGCTGGGCAAGTAACTCGATTACTCGATTACTCGCGAGTAGTTTATGCTTCTGGTTCTACCTGTGGTTTTCATCTACTTTACTCGTCCTGGCGCGAGTAAAAGCAGGTACTCGCGAGTAGCAATTTAGGGTTTAGGGTTCCCGTAAATGACCCAAAATGTCTCACAGTATGGATATCTCAGTGCTGAAGAATGTGGTTTGCCTTGCACGCTATTTGCTAGTAAGTTACTTCATGTCATACTAACATGTCATTTTTCTGCATTTATGGGAACTACTTGCGAGTACTTGACTACTCGTGAGTAATTCTTTGCGAGTACTTGAGTAGAAAAATCCACTACTGGCCCAGGCCTACTTCACATCATATAACTTTGTCAGCTATTTTTTTTTTCAAATAAGCAATTTGGTAAATTTTACAAAAAAGATGAATGTCTAAATTTTATAGGGTTGAGATTTGTCATGGTTTGTCCTGATTTTCAGGATTTTTTTTAAAGAATCCCTTGTGAAATCTGGAATTCCTGAGGTTTTACTGTAAAGGTGCTTTACCTATAAAAATGTATAAAAGAGATGAGTATTTTAACGAGAGCCTTTAGGCAAATACAATATACGTACATGTACCGGGGCCTTCAGCAACTCTTAAACCCTAGCTCTGTTGAACAGCATGACATGGATAAACTAAATTGACACAAGTGAGTTTTGAATCTACTATCTTTGGAACACTGAACTGATGGTCTACTAACTGAGGTCCTCAACTCTGCTGTTGATTTGTCAAGGTCTTTGTCGAAGGAAGGCAAGTCTGAAGTCATATGCCATGTGGTGAAGCACAGTTCTAAATATTACTCCAAAAAAGTGAACCTGAGCTGTTTCCTAGTCTTGTTTAATTGATGAATTTTTAAAGTGAGTGATTAATTGTTATCTGTTTTTGCAACCAATGACAGCCCCAGTTACTGAGCCAGTCAAGGATGTCCCCTCGGCTGGCACCACAGTGACCCTGCAGACCATCCCCGTCAGCCAGGCCTCCCAGCAAGGGGTGTACCAAGGACACGTGCAGTACGTAGACGGGGGCGATCACACAAGTTCCATCTATGCTAACGGCGCTATGTGAGCTCATTATCAAATCATCCTGCATGCTGGCCCAATAACACCCACCTTAACCCCCCTCCTACCCTCTCTCCCTCCCCCTCTACCCCTTCCCTTTGTGCTGGCCTGGTTGGTGTGGTGTTCACTTGTCGCATTGGTAGAAGTTCAGTTTTACTTTAAGTTGTAGGACAAGATGAAAAACCAAACAGGAAAACCATTGACAAGATCCTAAACGAGCAAGTTGTGGGGTCTGCAGGTTTCATTGAGTCACAGATATACTTACACGGAGGATTGCTCGGAGTCGAGTAAATGCAATAATCCATGTAACAAAATCCACTTCAGAAACTACGTTGGTACATTTCCGAGTTTCCTGTTTGCGGCCGGTTCGGACTGTGCGCGAAATCGAATGTGGATTGGAATTTGTAACATCATGTATAGTTTTCATGCTGCGAATTCGTAAAAAGTTGAACGCATCATTCAATTCCAGCAAATTTCGCGGTGAATGTTTCCTGATGTCAAATTCGCTTTGCATTCGCATTCGTGTTAAGTATTAACTAACCTAAAGACAGATACACAAAACACTCCAATTAAAAAAGCCAAAACTGAAATCTGTTTGATAAATGACAAATTAACTAATCAGCCAGCCTTTGTGGTTTGCGGTGCAGTATTTTTCTGTTGGTGTTAAGGGGCTTTGCTGTGCATTACATATTACACAACGCTTGAGGTGTCATGTCTTCCACTGTGGATTTCATTTCGTTTCATTGGTTTTCTTAATTCATAGTGCAGCCAACTTTTCACGATTTAGAGACATATATATACAGGATCATTTGCAGTTATCTTAAAAAGTAAACTACCAAATTATTATCAAAAAGCTTACTTGGATTAAAGATCGTACTGGTACGGGTGCTAATCACCCCATGAAATGATTCCGTCTTGCTTGTTGTCATTTAAATCAAGAAATGTTGGTGATTTCCAATGACCGGTGATTTGACAGATTTTTGGAATAAAGGGGTTTTATTGACAAAGTTGTGTTTCATGATCAAAAAGTTGTACCGATGCATGGTTTTTCACTGTTTTCTCAAGTGTAATATCCACTGAGAAACTTCGTCAGGTTAGGTTTGAACATTCTTGTTTGGATTTTGAGTGGTGTAATTATTGGAAATGAACAAAATACATGAAAAGCAAATGATCCTGTATATATGTAGTGACTGCTCAAGTTCATTCTTGTCGGAGCTTTACTCAGTTCTAAAACGGCACGTCAGGAAAGGATTTTCACCGAAAGAAAAAAAAGGGTTTGAAAGAATCTTAAGCATGAGCAAGAGAAAGCTATTGCATCAGATTTTCAATTAGCTTTTTTCCCCCACTTATAACTCCAATTGGTTGTTGTGATGTCCAAGTTATTAGGCTTCAACGACCAGGCAATTCTAGGAAGAATCAGATTCAATGGAGCTTTTACACTAGCATGTGGGACATGAGCAAACTGTCTTCAAAATAAATTGTTATTTGAAAATTTGAACAAAGAAATGGACTGGATTGAGGGGCTTGAACCTGCGACCTCCGTATTACTGTTCCGGTGCTCTACCAACTGAGCTATCCAGACCTCTGTTGGAGGTTCCCCAGTGGGTCAATATCTTTTTTCAAGGGGCACTAGCCGTATCCTCTCTGAGTGACCCCCGTTTGCTATTTCCCAGGTCTGTATTGTGACTTTAGGCGTGATCCTTGGCTGCATGGCATATACAGCTATAAGGCTTCTGACCAAAGCCCCTTGAACAAAGATTGAACCAACTGGGGAATCGCCAACATATGGCTGGATAGCTCAGTTAGTAAGAGCACCGGAACGGTAATCCGGAGGTCGCAGGTTCAAACCACACTCAAGTCAATTTCTGTGTTGAACTTTCCCATTTTGAAGGGAATCTTATTCTTAATACTCAATGGAATCTAGATGGAATCGAAACTAATTACCAAAACATTGGAGTCAGCCAAGCCTACATGTTCACATTATAACGTGGTGCATGACATATTGTCCCCACAATTCTGAGTTTCTTGTCTGGCATGTCATAACCATAGCATGAGGTACTTGTTTTTTTTCCCCCTCACGGTAGTTTTTTTTCCCCTCATGGTAGATTAGTATGGACTCCGTGTACGAACAGCACATGTAGATGGTGCTTGGTGACCACTTTTGAGAGCTCCAATAGGAGGGACACAAAGGGTGCGCACTCTGGTTTGCACAAGTGCTGCGCCAAGTACGCACGACTAAAGTCAATTCTGAATGTGCGCAAACCATGCATTCAAATGTCCCTCCCAGTGGTCTCCCCCAACTCTCCCTTTTGTAACCGTTGAGGGGGTACTTGTGCACGGAGTCCATTGCATATATTTTTTTGGTTCCCAATAACCGGGCTCTTTGCTAACCAAACATCTTCATGCCTCTTGTCATCCCTATGATTCTGTGCCATCCCTCAGATAATGAGCTCATACGCTTTGGCTCACACTTGATATTGTGTGCGTAATGTTTCTTAACATGGTTTGAGTGCCGTTATCTAACTTAAGGATGTGTGTGTGTTATAGTTTTTGATATACCGATTTGGATGTAACATGTGTTACTGCAGAGGGTTCCTCTATGAGACAAAGGAACATCTGCCATTGTAGGAAGCATCTCTCTGAACTGTGGAACAGCGTTAAACAAGAATTTAAGGTTGAACAAAGATATTGACAAATTAGGAGAACTGCCAACATAGGGCTGGATAGCTCAGTTGGTAGAGCACCGGAACGGTAATCCAGAGGTCGCAGGTTCAGACCCTGCTCCAGTCAATTTCTTTGTTCAACTTTTCAAACTAAAGAATCTAGGGTGTTTCCTTATCTGCAGACTTTCTGGTCTTTAAATTGAACCATAGAATGTGCATCGTTCCTTGCAATGCGGGGTTCCAATTAAAATATGGTAAATTTACTTTGGTAAAGTGTTGTTCAAGTTTTGATGCTGTTTAGTGGAAAACTTAAACATGTTAATCTTAATGCTTAATATTTCAAAGTAGTTGCATTGAAAAAAAGATTTTTGCACAAAAATAAAGGCCTTAGCTGTAACTCCCTAGCATGATTTACTGGGAACCATACCCATCCTGGCAAATTCCAACACCATATGGGAAACTGCACACATTTTTGATTTTGATTCTGGAGGTGTGCCAACCCAATGTATATGACTGTCAGTTTAGGGGTACCGTACCCATCCTGACAGATTCCAACAAAACATGCCGTTGGGGTTTGATGGGTTGAGTTCTGTTAGGGTTAATATGTGTCCAGTCGCCTGCCTTTGTAAAGAGCACAACCCTTATGTACTGTATTTGAGCGCACCATAGCACAGCAGGTATGCCATTCCTGCACATAACTAACTCACCCACCCCCAATGTCTGCCCCACACATGACCCGTGACCCCACACGACCCGTGACCCCACACGACCTATATCCCACGCACCCTTATAGTTTAGCACCGACAGCCATGTGGCTTAACCGTACTAACCCCATGCAATGATTCTCTCCCCCCCTTCTACTTCTCGTTCTCCCTGACCGTTTCCTTCTGGTCCTGTCTCCGTCCTGGGGGATCGTTTTGGTTTTTTGTTTTTCCTCTGTTGTTCTCTTTCCCTTTTCCTCTCTGTTTCATGATGAAACAAATCTTGCTGACCATAGGGCAAACTATCCTTACAGTGAGGCCACAACGATGTACACGCAGGCCACTCCGGCCGGTGGGGCCACGTACTACTCCTCGGGGCAGGCACTCACCTCTGGAGCACTTGGAAGCATCCAGACCCTGGGTGGCTCCAACATGTCCGTGGGTGGAGCCATCGTTGGAGGGAACCTCATCGGAGGGGGCTTGCTCGGAGGGCCACAACTCATCACCCAGCAGGGGAACACGTACTTGTTACAGGGTCACACCATGGACGGTAATGGGCACCCTCTCACGCACACCACTCGTGCATCCCCTGCAACAGTAAGAACAGTTAAGCGATTCACATTAAAAACAGTCGAAATCATATACATTAATTTGTTCAAACAATTTACAGCACTTGTTGACTAGACACACAAGGTATGTACATTAAAATGGTCCCAATTTTATATAAACCCGCCTATATTCACCATTCATAAACACAGTTTACCCATTGGTCATGAGCCCGTCGCGTGGGTGGTTTTAAACCACTGATAAAAAAGCAACTCGTTCTAAACACAGTTCCTGTGTTTTGCACCGCATCGCGCAGTACGCGCCACGCGCGCGCCAATAAGGAGATTTTAAGCGCTGTGTACGTGAGGCACATACCATAGACACAGCTAGAGGGGTGTTTAACAAAACATGAATTGAAGTTGTCGAACAAAATCGTTGGGAATTTGTGAAGTTTTGACTTATTTTGACTTTTTGACTGAAAGGTATTTATGAATGGAATAAATTTGTGCTGGGCTGGTGTTAAACAAGTACGTTTAAAACTGTCTAGGGGTCTGTACGCGGATATTGGCCCTCGCTTTTGGCTCGAGCTGTTATCCGCATCCAGGTCCCTAGCTGGTTTTGAACGTACGTTTTTAAAACCAGCCAAGCACATTATTTATTCCCTTAGTAATAGACTTTAATCCATTAGCACATGTATTACATTGTATAACTACTTACTCCTTGATGAAGCAATGAACCATAGAGTGCTGAGGCGGGTTGGGGCGGTATAAGGTAGTAACAGGCAGGGCACTTTGGGGCAGTACGGGCACCAATGGGTCAAACTAATCCAACCACTTTTCACTCTTCTTATAGGACTGAGAGTCCTTTATAAGTCACAAGCTGATTTACCCGATCATAGATCGGGTAGGGCGTAGTGTTGGGGATGAAAATGTGGGGAGTTAAATGTAAATGGGGGATATAGTTAAGGAGACATGCAGTTATAGAAAAGCAATTTCTGTGGTGTGATCTGGGGCAATTTCTGACCACTAAAACCAATTGCAGCAAAAGATCATCTTTTAAAGTTTTGAGTTTGGAGTAATTGAATCAGCTACATGTATTCTGAGCAATATAGAATCATTATTGTAGGCTACAATTTTTATTCGGGAAGAAAAAGTGTGTGTGTGTGTGTGTGGGGGGACCAAACAATGTCCCCCGTTTTAAAATGGGGAGGGGGTGGTTCCCCCTGTCCCCCGTCGATTTACGCACATGATAATTATGTGTCATGGCAACTGTCTGTAAATGTTGCCGTTGGTCTGTTAAATTGGCATTTTGTGAGGCAGTCGCATTTGGAAAACGTAGTAAAAAGGTTACTGGAGTACACAGGCGAAGGCTGATTGTACAGTTTTGACAATAAATCATAATGCAATGAAACATGAAGGACTGAGAGTCCTTTATAAGTCATGTTTGGCATTTGATGATGCCATTTAGCCACTTCACCATACTTCATTTACGTTGAGCTGTGTGTGGTTTTGAGAACAGGTTCGCTCAAACTTTCAAACGCTGTGCTCTGTTCGTCTTGAGAGAGGCACAAGGGAGACAAATGATGCTACTGCAAAAGTCCTCATGTTTCTCTACAATGAAAACCTTCTAGTTGTATTCGTAGTACATGGAAGAGCATTTCATAAGAACGTTTTAGAAGACACAGGGTTCCCAAAGTCATGGAAATATCCTGGAATCATGGACATTTTACAAGGAGTCATGAAAAGTTGAAATTCCAAGAAAAAAGTCATGGAAAAGTTGTGGAATCCTGCACAACTCATATGTGATGATACGTTAATTTGGCTATGCCAGCCTTCCAGTTTTTGGTCCAGTTTACTTTACTTCCTCTTTATGCATGTATGCTCTGTACTTGTTGCTTGTTCAATGCACCGTTGTGATGCTTATGTGGTGCTCGGTGGTCTTGTGTCAAACTGGACAGCTGAAAGGGAGTGGTGTCCCATGCCTCCAGAGCAAAAGACTCCTAAGATGCCATGGAATTGGTCATGGAAAGCCCTAATTTTGTCCTGGAAAAAGCATGGAATTTCATCTCGAGATTTTTCTGGGAACCCTACATTAGGTGCTAGTGAAATAAAGAAATAATAAGTGGCTTACATTTTGCTTGCAGGTCCAGTGGCTGTTGGACAACTACGAGTGCGCAGAGGGTGTCAGCTTGCCCCGAAGTACTCTCTTCAATCACTACATGCGACATTGTCAGGAACACAAAATTGACCCGGTCAATGCTGCTTCCTTTGGCAAGCTAATACGGTCGGTGTTCCTCGGGCTTCGAACCAGGAGATTGGGAACTAGGTAAGGTCTAGACGATTGAAAAAGAAAATGGCAAATCCCACTCCAATTTCTTATTTTGTACATGTATATGTGTGTTTTCGTCAGTTGCTACATTCTTCAAAAAAGTACATTGGATAAACCTGAAATTTAAACAAACATTGACCCTGATCCCAAGATATGTCAAATTACAAAGTGTAGTTTTGAGAAACGCTTAAAACAAAGTTAATTTTTAAGTAAGGGGAGAATGCAAAATTAATCAGGTGGAGAATTACCTTGGTTTTATAGGGTACTGCTTGTATCAGTTTGCATGCCTTGCTAATAGTCAAAATTAGCTATTATGTTCATATTGTCTAATCTGGTGGCCAAGATCTCAGTGAACATTTGTGTCACGAGTGTGAAGTTGCTTGACCTTACAGCGTGGGGTTACTGTGAGGTCAAAGTTCGGTGAATTCAGAATTGCAAACGGAAGCTTGACCAAAACAGTTATACCCACATGAAGCAGGAGAGGCCTTGAAGCTGCCTCATTCACCTAGAAATGATGTTTTTTGTGTGACCTTTGCTTCTATATTCGAAAGGTTCACTATTACTTTTGTACTTCAATATACAGGGGGAACTCCAAATATCACTACTATGGCATCCGCATCAAAAGCTCCTCACCACTCAATCAGTACCAAGAAGAGAGTGGCCACACGGCCATGAGACAACAGCCAATCAACTCCGCCAAGAGGTTAGTGATAATTTCTGACTTAAAGGAGTCCAGTTATGGAGGCATCTAAGTCCAACCACTAGGTACCCTACTAGGGGTGTGATAATTCACCGTTATATTGTTAATCGTGATTCTGAAATGCCACAACATGGCATCGGGATACAAAACTGTGTATCGCAATATGTAGAGGCTGATAAGCAGCCTTTTTCGTTGTGTATCGCGATACATAGAGGCTGATAAGCAGCCTTTTTCATTGTGATATTTCGGGCGTAACACTTCATGTAACTGTCCAACCATGTCACCCTTCCTTGAGCAAAAATCGGTTTGGATGGGTAAGAACACCGAATGCCACTGCGCTCATGTCACAGACCACACACCGCATGATACTAGTACCAGGCAGATCGTGAAATTACGGTCGGACATCGGGCATTTTCTGACCACGTAATTGTATTTGTTCGACTAAAAGTGAATGTGCTTGGAAAAGATGTCGGAAGGATATGCGAATAAGAAAAAATCAGTCAAGTTGTCCAAATGACATAGGAAACATAGGTCCATTGCCGTACTGACAACCAGTTCTATTTTGAGCGAATCCTACGTGTGTTAATTTTTTTCACGGAAGAGGTTTAACATTTAAACGTTTCAGCCAGCCATAGACCCAATCCATGATCCGCACGCACCCAGCCAGACTAGACTATAGACTTATGTAGACGTACGTCGTTAGACCGACCCAAGTCGATGTTTTTGCCAACATGCGCCACATGCATGTCTTGTTATCAGCCAATAAAAAATGTAGTAGGCGCGCTGCATCGCAACGGTGCAGGTAACATCATATGGAACTTAAGGGCATGGTTACTGAATGATTGACACGCATAATGCAGCGTGGAGGTTAATTCATTCATGCATGCAGTCATTGTTAATTCTGATTTGATAGGTAAGGAGCATTTCAATGGGAAAACCTCTGAGAATATTTTATATTGTTAGAGTTTCAGAGTATGTGTATATAACAGAGGGATACTTTTTACTACAGAATTCATATCCACCACTGAAAACCATTTGATGGTACAAAAATTCCCCGGTATTATTTTTGAAATTACCATATTGTGCTTAATTCTCCTGCAATTTAAAAAGTTACAGACAGTCAAAATTCACTTCCACTTATCCTGCGACACTTTTAACAAAGGCTAGTCAACAGCAGTCAGATCGTAATGTCAAGCAAGCACTGTGACTAGTCAAACTGGGTCAACAGACAAAGCAGGCAAGTTGTGGTCACAGCTGTTTTTATCACTCACCCTAAGTCAAAGCAAAGCTGTATCAAGTTACTTACACAGTCCCAGCCAGTCAATCCAGCTGGGCAGGGCCCAATTTCATAGAACTGCTTAAGCAGAAAATTTGCTTAAGCACGAAAAAACATTGCTTAGTAAAATTAGGTTACCGGCCAAAACTCCATGTGATGTACATTGCTTGTGACTGGTATTTAGCTGTTGTTTACTTAGCATAACAATCGCATGGAGTTTTGGCTGGTAACCTGATTTTATTAAGCAAGACGTTTTTGTGCTTAAGCAAATTTTGTGCTTAAGCAGCTCTATGAAATTGGCCCCTGCTTTATGTTGGCTGGGAATTCTTAAGTTTTGAAAACAGTCACTTGTTTGATGTTGACTGAAAGGACTACTTGTCACAGAATGTATGCTTGCATAGGAGGGTTAAAGCAGCAATCCTTTCACTTCTTAGAGGAAGAAAATGGGTTCTGTGGGTACCATTACCTTATTCTTGGAGTTCTTGTTTTCCCTTTCCTTTCAGATTCAAGCCGTCTCCGTTAGGCGGCAAGCCCGATGGCACAGAGGGCGGAGGGGCAATAAGTGGAAGTGGCGGTGCCGCCCAGGACCCCGTACAGACCCAGACCCAGCAGCACCAGCAGTTCCTGGGTGATGCCTCCATGGCACTGCCTGATTTCGGGGAGCTTAAGTTTGGTTCTACGCCTCTTCCAGATGGAGTGACGCATGATGACGTAAAAGCCTTCCAGGCGCTCTACAGAGAGCACTGTGAGGTAAAAATCTAGTTGCTTGGAGCTGTTAATGAAGAGAACTTCTTTTTGTTTGGATACCGACCGATCCATTGAGCCCCAACCACTGCACCCATGGGCAGCAACACATATACCTCTCCACAGACACTGAAATTTGTATCCTTGTGGAGTCTTTATTTTTGTGTACTAAAGTTTTCAAGTTTGAAAGAGTCCTTTCAAAATGCTCCTATTTTAACCAAAATTAATTTCCTGGGCTGAAATTCGGACTTAATATCCCTTACATAAAATACTTCAATTCCTAGCTTTTGAGTAAAATCCATATATCTATTTCGTGATAACCACGTGGAGACGTATTCACCTATAGAAATTGCTCAGTGGAGACGTAAACAATCTTTTGTTCCCTATTTTGCACGTCTCCACAGGGTACTGTGTACCAGATCAATGCCACTAGCCGCACCTGTCATACACATCTGTAACATGACAGATTTTGTGCAGGCATTAAAGGGGCACTAAGTTGTGAAATCCCCGAAAATTTCATATTTTGGATTGTTTACTAATCTTATTTTCTAACATCTGGTTGAAAGGAAACCAACCTAATGTTTTACCGTTCCCGAGAAAAGAAAAGAAAAACCTGGTTGTTTACATCGGACACAACAGAGAACGCATACGTATTTTCCTTTCGTTTTCAGTCAATGTACGATACACATTGTGTGTGTCACATACTTACACATAGCAGCAATGCACAAATGTGGTTTCTTACATGCTGGCAAAAGGCGAACACTTTACGGATGGAAACACAACTAGCCCGATTTTTTGGGGTCGCAAAAGTGGACCCCGAAATTCGTTCTTGCACGAATAACACAAAAATAGCACCAAAAAACCCAGTTTTTAAAGGATAGTTATGTGGATGTTTATATCCTACTTTGAAATGGTCTTTCTGATTAACATCACTTCATTCAAAGGGCATTTTGTAGCCCAATTGGGCGTATTCCAGGACTTAGTGTGACTTTAATCACGGTTGTCATTAAAGGGTTGGTCTATTAATCTGGGGGAATGCTCTGATTATTGGCCTTTATTCAAGTTCACAAGCCCTTCATGATACCTGATACGCATTTGTATTGTGTCTCTTTGGCAGGCCATTCTTGATGTGGTCGTTAATCTCCAGTTTGCTCTTATTGAAGCCTTGTGGCAAACATTTTGGAGGAATCCACCCGCCGACGCACAGCAAAGGTATTTCAATTTTTTATTTAATGATAAATCAGAGTTGTAAGTCCTCCAACATAAAAAGATTTCTTGGTTATTTTTTTGAATTGCAGATTACATATAGGTAGCATTAATTCTCTTATCTTCCTCAAATTTCCTGCAAAAATATCAGGGTCTTAATCATCACTGATAACATTTTGTGAATATTGTGGATAGGAGAGGTTCATAATGAGATCCTTTACCAAGATAACTCTTCAAATGCCTTGTAAAATTAGGATGTATGGATGAAATGGTAACTTAATTTTGCAGGGTTGATACTGTAATTTGACTCCAAAATTCACAAGCAAAAAGGTTTAAAAGCTCACTTTCCTGTGAATACACTTAATTCTACCCACAGTTAAGAGGAATGTAATGTGATTTAGTCATAGTTAAGATTATATAACCAACATACAGATCCTTGTCATCTGATTGGTGGAACTCACATCACGTGACATTCGTTATTACTACCATTCACGCCGGGTCCCAAAAAGTACTGTCCGCCCATGGGGAGTGGGAAATACTATAGAACAGTTAGGATCATTCTTGTTCCAAGACGCAGTATTTGTGTGCAAAGGAATGCTGGTGTGCGCGTTCAGCGTTGCGCGTATTGTTCCAAAGAGCCAGCGCTACAGAGTGGGGTTCAAACATTTTTGTGAAGGGGTGGTTTGGAAGAGAGAAATACATTGCCCATCAATTTTGTAGCGAAATAAAAGTTCAAATATATCAAATGACAAGGATCTATATGTCAGTAATATAAAACAAATATTGAGTGGCTTTAAATTGTGAAATGGGAGGAATATTATCGCTCGGTAAAATCTGGACTTTTCCACTTCACTCGGCTTCCCCTCGTGAAATGGAAAAGTCCAGATTTCACCTTGCGATAATATTTCACTCTGAGCCACTCAATATTTGTATACTAAGACACACGCTCCACTCAGAGATTGTAACATGTATTATGTTACTCAATCTGGAATGTTATTTTTCAGTGAGGTAGACGTCGAGAAAAGACTTCCCAAAGCCAAGCTGGCCTCCTTATGCCAGAGCAATCCAGTCCAAGAGTATGTGAAACACTACGACCACGTACTGTACCAGGGATTAGTGGAGGTCCTAATACCGGACGTGCTACGGCCAATACCAAGTAAGCACATCCCTGTGATACTATTAGCCCTCCTAATAATAATAATAATGGGTATTTATAAAGCGCACGTATCCACCATTGTTGGCGCTCAAGGCGCTACATCATTATTACCCTAATCATTGGGCCAATGAAACATTCCAAATACGAAAACGGTTTTTTGATTGATAATACAGACATTTGAATCGGCTGCACATTCCTCATAGACCTGGAGCACGTTTTGGCGGCCCTTGAACTGGAACATGTTTCTGACGTCACAGCCGTGACCTGAAACATGTTTCCTGTGCACCGCAAAAACGACTGACCGGAAAATTGTTCATGACGTCATGTTACTGCCTACGTGACTGCACAACCCCCCAAAAATCACGCGGCGACCGGACACGATTAACAATAACAGTCAAAGCAAAAGTGGGAGTTTTTTTTTATAGCATTTCCCCTAAAGTTCTAAAAAGAGTAGGCCTGATATTCTGTATCAACTTTCGTACCAATTGAAGGTAAAAACCCACTATTTAAACCCCATTTATGGTAAAAAGTAACGTCGTCTGCTAAGCTTGTTTACCTTTCCGCCATCTTGAAACATAAGTGAACCGACCGGAGACCTCGGTTCAACTTTGGTCGAAACAATGACGTCATTTCAGTGTAACCGAAGCGCCAAAACGGCCGCGAACCAGAAACATGTTTACGGTCACAGCGCCAAAACGTGCTCCAGATAATGATGTTGAAATTGAATTGCATGCTTCGTATTTTTCAGGTGCCTTGACACAAGCTATTCGCAACTTTGCGAAAACGTTAGAGACCTGGTTGAAGAACAGTATGACTGGCATCCCACAAGACATGATCGGTCTTAAGGTAAGAAGAAAAAAACAAAAGAAAGTCACTGATTTTGAAGTGCTCTTAAAAGTGTAAATATGAATATTAATTTTTAAAACAGGGAAGTGTCATTTGAAGTGAATTTGTCAATTTGTATTTTTTTGCTATTTTCAAAATAAAAGGCATGTTTGAACATTACCAATTTAATAGAAAAACAATTTGCTCAATGTAAAGATAGGGATGGTACCAAATATGTGTAATTTCTCCGTCTTAGTTGGTATCATTCTTATAAAGGTGGTAACATTCATTAGCAATGGAAACAAAATTCTCAAAAAAATTGACCCAAAAATCATGCATTTGTTTTCTCTGTTGACTGAATATGTATATCTTCCACTTTGCTTTAGCTGCCACTGGTTAGTTGTTTTGCATGTTACTTAAGATTTTGAGCAATTTTGTTGCAAAAGCGCTCAAAATCTAAAGAAGGGTGCTTAACAACTAACCTGATGAAATTTCAGCTCAGTGAATGTTGTGTATTCCCAGAAAACAATATTCTAGAATCTCGATTTCAATTCAAAATTTGGCGAGTCATGTTTTGCTTTTGCAGCTTTTTTTGCGCCTGAAAAGGCATGTTTGAACATTGCTAATTACTCTAAAACTGTTCTACCAATTTAAGATTTTGAGCAATTTTGTTGCAAAAGCGCTCAAAATCTAAAGAAGGGTGCTTAACAACTAACCTGATGAAGTTTGAGTTCAGTGAATGCTGTATATTCCAAGAAAACAATATTCTAGGATCTCGATTTCAATTCAAATTTTGGTGAGTCATGTTTTGAATTGCGCCCGAAATCAGCGTCTGGGACATGTTCTCATTCTGCCGTTTGCAGCTACGCGATGTCGCACACTGAACCGAGAATTATAGCAATCACGCACGCTTGTGCGTCGTGCCAATGCTTGCACACACCCATTCAAGGCTTTGCTGAATTAAAAACGAACTACTGACGGAAATTTCCAAAGATGCCTCTTTAGACACTTCATTGGAAATGGCCTTCTTTTTTTGTTTTCTTCAAAAAGATAGCATGCCAGAAAGAATAATTTCAAAGGGAGTTTAGTGCCATTACTATCTTTAAACCAAGTATGCTTTTCAATTTGTCAGTTAGGCCTACATTTTGGATAGCTGCAAATGACATACTCTACATTTAAACCATAGACTAGTACTATCCATACTAAAACAAACTTCAAAATATGGCCTGCCTTGATTGTTGATGTTATTGAATGAGTGACCTTGTGATGCTTTCAGGTGGGTGCAGTGACCGCCTTTGCTCAGACCCTCCGTCGTTACACCTCCCTCAATCACTTAGCACAGGCTGCGAGAGCCGTGCTGCAGAACACATCGCAGATCAACCAGATGCTGAGTGACCTCAACAGAGTAGACTTTGCCAATGTACAGGTTGGTGCTCCTTGAATCTTGCCATGCCTTTTTGCTTTGGTCCGTTAAATCCAGCAAAGGGTTGAGGGGGATGCTGTGCTGATAAGCTCCTCCATTCATTGTAGTTGTACGCCAGAGCCTGGGTCTCCGCAAACATCTTTCAAGTTCACTCCTTTATATTGTCCGTCCGCCTTTTCTTCTCATGTTTTTGAAATAGTAGGCGATGTGACTTTGTCACTTTGCAGCAGCCGTGTACATATAGTACAGTTAAAGTGGCAGTTCAACAGAAACTGAAAATAATTGGAAGCATGTTTTTAAACACCCCTCTAGCTATGGTATGGTATGTGCCTCTCTTGAGTAGTAGCAAACAATCTCCTTATATGGAGATCGGCAGTGCCTGGCGCATGCTGCATGATGTGGCGCATTATGCGGAGCACCGGTGTAGTGTGCTGATTGGCTACACAATGAAAAAGGATGATGTTGATGCGCGTACGTCGTCGTTAATTAACACAGGACGACTGCGATTGATTCCCACTTGTCGTGACCAGGTACAAGTGGAAATGTTCCTACTCTTGCGACTGTTTTTGTTTAGCACAGACTGATTCCGATCGTCTAAATGTTGTCGCAGTTACACTCGGTTCGCCAAAAATCGGTGACTAATTTGTTTCCGACGGTCGTGGCTCAGGCGCAGCTTGATCCGAAAAAGTCAGTTGCGCCTGATTTTTGTCGTAGCAAGGTTTCCCTGAGGGCAGTTTAAGGCTTTCGAAAGCAGTCAAAGTGCCATCTACTGGTGGCACAGAACCCATCATGTAATTAGTGTTGTGAGGTTTGTCCAGTTTTCAGACAATATGTGCTCTTGTCATCTCCTCCCTTCCCCCTACTCCCACCAGGAGCAGGCATCCTGGGTGTGTCAGTGCGATGACCAGATGGTCCAGCGTCTGGAGCAGGATTTCAAGTCTACCCTACAGGATCAGAACTCCCTGGAGCAGTGGGCTGCCTGGCTGGAGGGGGTGGTGACCGAGGTCCTGGAACCCCACGAGAACTCCCCAAACTTTGCCAAGGCAGCGCGGCAGTTCCTGCTGAAATGGTCATTTTACAGGTGAGGGTTTGTGCTTGCCGCGTTTGACCAAAAATTCAAAACTAGGAGTCCTGGTAAAATTGTTATGGTACAATCTTTGGTTTGTCAACAAATGACCACTTTGTTAAAAGTTGGATTCATCAAAGACAAAAAAATTGAAAAGATGGCTAGAATTCAAGGGCAATTCCAAATGATTAGTTTATGGCTCTGAAATCGTGCTGATAGGAACTGGGCAAACTTAAATCTGATCACGCCACTTTGTTTGGTAAAGTTAGGGGAGAATGCAGAACTAACTCGAGGTTCACCTCGGGCTTTTTATGAGATTTTACAGGGTACCTTGCTTTCAACCTCAAGTTAGTGCCGGTGAAATTTTGGATTCTTCCCTCATTTACATAGGTTCTAGATCAAAATATTTGTATTACAAAGTGTCAATTCAGTATTGTTTTTTTTTTGTTTTTTTGCCGTTTACCAAAAAAATTATAAACACTGTATACTCAGTGTTGTCCGAGGGCTTATAAGAAAAAAATTCACAAGCTAGGTGGGACTCAAGCTAGGTGGGACTCGAACCCCCAAACTCATGCTTACCAGTGCATGCAACTTACCACTCAACCACCAAGCTTTCCGGGGTTGGCTGGCTGGTGCAAATCTGATATAGCAGCGGGCACCACAGCGAATTAATCATACAAATTGTGATTATAAAATATATTAAGCGTGACCAGCCAGCTCGGTAAGTACTTGATGATATATCATCTTGTTAGTTGCGCTGTTTCCAAGAACAGTCATGTTGTAATCCGCTCGTATTAATTCTGAGTTCTCCTTTCATTCTCTTGCAGCTCCATGGTGATACGTGACCTCACACTCCGCAGTGCCGCCAGCTTTGGGTCGTTCCATTTGATACGCTTGCTGTACGACGAGTTCATGTTCTACCTGATTGAGCACAGGGTAGCGGCGGCGACGGGAGAAACCCCTATTGCTGTAATGGGTAAGCCCACCATCTGCAAAGTTGCTTAAAAAAAATCTGACATCTAACTAAAAGCCACATTTCACAATACTGTAAATGCTGGAAAGGTGTCAGATTTAGTCAGTGCAAAATGCAACCCTTGAAAAATATTGATGGAACTAGAAGTGGCTCCTTTTATGCCTTTTTAAAGGGTGCATGCGATGAATTTTTCTTAAAAAAACATTTTGCGCAACTTTCTACTCCTTTTAATTGTATGAAAACTATTTGACATCCCTTTGGTTAATCTTATTGAAAAGTGCACTTCTTCTTTAAACATTTCAAATGTTCCAGGTTTTTCCAGGCAACTGAGGGCGCTGTTGCTGTAATGTCATTTCAGGAAGACACTGTTCAGTTTAGGGGTTTTCTGCTCAAATTGTGAATCCAAAATGTGCTCATTGAAAACATTTGTGAGAAAGGGTTGCTTAGTGGCATACTGCCATGTACTGACACAACGTCGAATCACTAAAGAAAAGAACAATTGTGACTGCAAAATATCCGAATTTCTAGCAACTTTTATAGTTGAAATAGCTGTAACATTGAGATTTCTGCCCGGAATGACATCACAGTTTTGCTCATGAATATGGAAATTTGCATTAGCATCTAAACCAAAAGCACCAAAAACCCTTCAAAATGGCAAAACGCAAATTGAAAATAAGGTTAAATGGGACATAAAGGTGCATTTTCAAGGATTGCATTAAAAAAAATTACATTGCATGGACCATTTAAGAGTTTTTTCTCCATAAGCCAGTTTCATCTCTGACTGCTGTGTTTGTTCTATCTTTCAGACAAGGTAGACGCCTCGGCTGAACTAGCCATGAACAACTCACTGCCAACCACCAACAACATCAACACCACCGCCGGCAACACCAACACCATCATTGTCAACATCCCCACCACATCAGCCGTGAACTCAGTCGTCAAAGTAGTCAACAGCAAATGAGAGCCAGTCGTGTGTGCTATATTAGACCCCTCACAAAACCCTACAGGTACATAATTTATTTATTAAGTCAGCTCATTGCGTGTTTTGGCGATGTTCTGGGCACGTTTTTTTTTCGTATGGGAGGAAAGTTGGGCTTTTACTTCGCGTGAGGTACTCATTGACACCACAGTAGATTCTGTCCCTTCTTTCATTGCTGCTTTTCTGTAAGATTACAATTTTGTGTACATTTCTCTGTAAGGCCCGTCGAACTGAGATACAATGAACTGATCTTGGTGACTTGCTTTTGAAACAGATGCGTAATCAGTCACCCTGAATCTTTGCAGAAGTCTTGTTAACCCATTAGTCCCTGTACCACCCCAAACCACCCTGCCCGTTACTCCTGTACCGCCCCGTTCCGCCCCGCCTGTTACTCCCAGGACCGCCCCAAACGGCCCTCCCTGTACCACTCCAAACGCCCCGCCTGTTACTCCCTGTACCACCCCAAACCACCCTACCTGTTACTCCCTGTACCACCCCAAACCCCCTGCCTGTTACTCCCTGTACCACCCCAAACCACCCTGCCTGTTACTCCCTGTACCACCCTAAACCGTCATGTCTGTTACTCCCAGGACCACCCCAAACCACCCCGACTGTTTATCCCAGTACCACCCCAAACCACCCTGCCTGTTACTCCCTGTACCACCCCAAACCACCCTGCCTGTTACTCCCTGTACCACCCCAAACTTCCCTGGCTGTTACTCCCTGTACCACCACAAACCACCCCGCCTGTTGCTCCCTGTACCACCCCAAACCACCCTGCCTGTTACTCCCTGTACCACCCCAAACTTCCCTGCCTGTTACTCCCTGTACCACCCCAAACTTCCCTGCCTGTTACTCCCTGTACCGCCCCAAACCACCCTGCCTGTTACTCCCTGTACCGCCCCAAACTTCCCTGCCTGTTACTCACTGTACCACCACAAACCCCCTGCCTGTTACTCCCTGTACCACCCCAAACCACCCTGCTTGTTACTCCCTGTACCACCCTAAACCGTCATGTCTGTTACTCCCAGGACCACCCCAAACCACCCCGACTGTTTATCCCAGTACCACCCCAAACTACCCTGCCTGTTACTCCCAGGACCACCCCAAACCATCCTGACTGTTTATCCCAGTACCACCCCAAACTAGTACCACCCCAAACCACCCCGCCTGTTACTCCCAGTACTGCCCCAAACCGCCCCGCCTGTTACTCCTTGTACCGCCCCAAACCGCCCGAGCACTCTATAGTTTTTGGATTCAGCTGGGAATAAACACAGTGTTATACAATGTAGTACAGGCGCTAGTGGGTCAATATTCTTCTACTTTTTATCAGAACTTTGTAGAATCATACAGGAGTATGAACAAAAAAAACCTTCAGTACAATGCTTCTCATGTTGAAAAATCTGTATGGCTATATGTATGGCCTGCATGATGTAGTAAATGTATAATTTAAAATGTTCCTCTTTTGAACATGTAGAATGTAGTTACCCATAAGTTAATATGGCCAGTCATTATTTTTGACTGTACTGATACATACATAGTTTGTTTCCTATTGCAGTTCAGGTTTTCGACAAAACAACTCCTACTTTTGTGGCATTAATTTACCAATTATAAAAGTACATGTCTGTGAAACTTTGTATGGCACTAGGTTCTGTTAAAACCATAATATATCCTAGACCACAGTTTGATCTTACCTAATAGGAGAGTCTTCAATAGAAAAACAATTTGTACTCAACCGTGTGTACCATACAATGCCCTGTCTTACGCACGCATGAGATATATCCCATTGTCGTGATGCATTGGTCGGTACAGAATTCGGTATCAGTATTCCAGCAAGTCGGTGCGAGGACCGTTAGTCGACTAGTAGTTGATTTGTGACGTAACTTATGCCTGCTCACTAGTAATAGCGAAGTGCGAACGCCTCAAGTCAAACCGTTGTCAAAATTCCTGGTTTCCTGTTGTGCTTTATGATGCCAGTGTCTATTGGTAGCCAGCGACGCAACCGCACCCCAGGCTCTGGTTCCAAATAGTTGACTAGAGTAGTCTAACCATCCTTTGTTCGAGCGAAGTTTGTCAAACTAAGGCCAAAAAAAAAAAGTCTCTGGTTTCTGGTATGCGCGCGCGTCGCCGTAGCCATGCGCGTCGGCAAAATGAAGAAGTTTTTTTTTCAATGAAAGATGATGTCTCAAAACCGCCAAACTCACTGGTTTGACTGGAATCCTGCTGCTGCACAATTTTAACGTGTTTTTAGATTGGGTTATGGTCGAGAATAAGCTTTATATGGCCTCTCTGGACTCCCATATATTTGCACTAAGTTTAGTCGGGCACCATTTGCAATCATCAGCCGACATTTGAAGCAAAAAAGTCAGGTAAAAAAAAAAAAAAAGCCGCGTCGCCGCACCACTTTTTGGGCAAGCTCCATACCAGAAACCGGAGACTTTTTTTTTTTGGCCTAAGGTTAACTGTAGTTAGCGCCCGAACTTGCTCTTGCTTTGCAAAGCTGTTACATATATAAATCATGGTCTGCTCCAAAAGAGGCTTCCTAAAATAAACCAAAGTGAATTAATGTTTTCCTCCAAAACCTTGTTATGGTCAGTCACAAGCAGCCGATATTCTTCAGTGAGAAGCTTTTAAAAAAAAAGAAGAATGCTGAAGGGCAAAGCCTAATATTGAACTTCCTTTTCACTGATGCAAATTCCATCTAAGAAATAGCTTGGTTGCGGTACCAGCTGCTATATCAGGTTCAAACCAGCCAGCCGACCCCGGCAAGCTCGGTGGTCGAGTGGCAAGACATCTGCACTAGTAAGCAGGAGGTCATGGGTTCAAGTCCCACCCGAGTATAAAGCTTGTTGAAAATTGTCTCACCAGTCCTTAGACAACACTGAGTAAACGGTGTTTAGAAAAATACATCAGTGAATGCGAACCCAATATTGAAAGATTTTTTAAATACCACTTCATATCCAACTTGACCATGTGAACAAGTGGCCAAGACGTGAACAGGGCCCAACTTCATGAATCTGCTTACTGTTAGTGAACAATCCATGCTTACTGATTAGACAATTCTGTGCTTAGGGTAAGCGTATTTCACGGGTTAGCGAGGAATGTTGGCTTATGCGCATGCGTACATCCGTACAATTTTGGTAGCAAGCAACTCTGGTCAGTATTTATTATCAAGTGCCCTTCTGGTGTCATTGTTACATTCCAGTGTAAAATTTATTTTGTAATCTCAAAATACTGATGTAACAAGTAGATATTATTTAAAGCAATGTCGTTTTAGACGGTGAACACTTTTTGAGGTACGTACACGAAATCCGTAATAAGTAGGGACTATTGCTATAGATATTATTTCTGAATCCTTTTTTGATTGATGTATGAAATATCCCAAATTTATACATTTGTAAATAACAAATTGATTATAATGAACATGGTTTGTTATTGTATATTATTCTTGATTTTGCGAATCCCCGTCATATGATAGTTTTGATGGGAACAACAACTGTTATTGTAAATATTCCCCTACGTAGATAAAACGTGTCTTTGCTGCAAAACAAATAACCAAATAAGGGAAATAAGTGGAAAGCATTGTCTTGGAAATCAGAAATGACCATGGTAACTTTTTACAATGTGATTAGCAGCAAGAAGTTTGTTGTCAATTGCATTGGAAATCCTGTCAATATTTTTAGGCTGTGAATTAGTTTGAAAATGATAAGAACAATCCTCCCACCATCATGTTCAGCAAGCGACCAGATAGACTCTTTGCACTGCGGCCATATTTGAGGTGTGGGCTTTTGTTCAACAGGGGTACACGCGTGATTAGATCAGTAGTGCATTCATTGCTTAAGGTAATACACAACATTTGCAAACATCAAAAAACAAAAACTTCCAAATTACTATGAAATACCTTACTGGACTGTAAGTGAATAATAGGCTCAAGCATCCTGTGAATTCTTGGCACCTGGTCTGCTGTCATTTTCAAGAATAGTGGAATTTTTGGAATTTCCAAAGATGGTAAGCCGACCATGGTTGGAAAAACACTGACTTTTTCAAATACTGCCCCCAATTTACCAAATTTAGTTTGTCCACATTTTGTTTGCAATCAGTTACACATCGTGAACAGGTGTAAGCAAGCAAGCTAGTCTTATTCCCCAAACGTCTATAAATTGCTACATTTCGTCTGAAGTAGGGTCGGGGAACCAGACTAAAAGTAAAGCATTTTTTTCCCCTTGGTTTTTCCAGCATATATGAACACACAACTTTAAACAGGTCAGAACCCCCAAATCCATCAGTTTCTGAAAATTACAGCAAAAGCAAATGTTGTATATTATTACCTTCAACATGGCAAAACACACCTCAAATATGTCTGCTTAATGCAATCAATCTGTAGCAGTTTTGGGGACATGCGCTGTAATGTCGACACACACCATAACAATTCTAACTTTGTGTGCATGGACGTCGGCAGCGTTTGCAGTTTGCGTTAAAGAGGTAATAAGCTACATACCTCATCTTTCCAACTGGCCAGTGTATGTTCAAAGGTCCTGTGATGAAATATAGTTACTTCAAAGAAGACGGCTTGGAAATATCATTAGTGATATTTTTTTAAGCATCGTTGAATTTTCGATGTGCCATTTGTCAGCCAGATCTGGTAGTTAGTAAATGTAGTTTGAAATCAGATAAAAAAGAAACTGCATTTAAACCTGTGTGTGATTTTTTATACCATTTCTTTGGCAGTTTTGTTCTGTAAATGTTTGGCTTCATCGGAATACTGGTTTGCTGTGGACTGTATAATTTGTTTTGTATTAAGACATCTCGCTAGGTGTATGTACATGTGTTTTCCCAAACGATACTTTGTGAAGTTCAGTGGGCTTTTTATTTAGACAATGTTAATATTTCTGTGCAGAAAGTGTTTTTTGAGAAGCGTGCATCCATGTGTTGAAATTATGAATTACAGATAATAATGTACAGAGGTTTGTTTACATATATATGGATTTTATGATATTTTGAGTGATTATTGATATTTTGGTTCCACTTTTTATTATATCTACTTGCAGTGAATGCTGTTAATATGTGTAGTTTTCTTTTTTAAATGTACAAATTGTCTCAACGATTCTCCTGGAGTTTTTGTATAGGTTTACTTTTTTT